GAACCCAAAAATAAACACAACATAATATGACAATCAACACTATTGATATTAAACAATAAATGAAGTACATAAAATAGCTAACAAATGTTGAAGATTAAATGAATTTCATAACTAATATAATTTAACTTGTCACTAAAAACACACCTCATCTCAAAGTTCAAAATGATGTGTCTGATATTACTATTCCAGTCATGATAATAAGCAGAATAAACATCTATCAGTCACAATTACTCAGTAGACCAAAAATGCCTTAGGAAAACATTTGTACTAATCTCATTTTAGACTTGCAATTGTTTCTTCCTCACAATCCTCTAAGTATGCTATAAATTAAGGACATATAAAAATTTTTTTTTGATATGTTAAGTCTGCTACAAATTTTTGTTTGTTGTCTTTTTCATAAATGTCATGCAAGTCTTTTATTCAACTGACCAAAGTTGTGACTACTTTTTAATGCATTGATATATTGAGCAACTTTGTATCGTTTTTTGTTTTCTTGTATGTCTTCACTGCAGTGCAAGTGGGCATTGCATGGAAGCCAGAGCAGCAATTACAGTGAGCTTCGTTGCAGTACGAATTACAACTGCGTAGAAGATAACATAGTAGTTACAAGATCTTCGCTTCAATACAAATCGGCCAGGTGGAGAGGGCTCTTTACTCACAATCTGAGGGTCGCGGGTTCGAATCCGTGTCCCACCAAACATGCTCTCCCTTTCAGCCATGGGGGCGTTATAATGTAACGGTCAATCACACTATTCGTTGGTAAAAGAGTAGGCGGTGGGTGGTGATGACTAGCTAAATTAGGGACGGCTAGCGCATATAGCCCTCGTGTAGCTTTGCGCGAAATGCAAAAACAAACAATCAACGCAAATCGGCATTGCACGACAGCCAACACAGTAATTTTAAACAATTTCGCTGCAGAGAAGCCATGACAATAGTTAGAAAAACCTGTACAATTTCAAAATCCGTTAACTGCATCGTTATCAACACATTCTATAACAAGTCGTATAGGTGTTTGACCTAAAAATGCATTATCAAAAGATGCTTCTAAGTTATCTTGAGGAACTGAAAATGATTTGCACACTATATATTTCGCCCCCCAGTGGCACAGCGGCATGTCTGCGGACTTACAACGCTAGAAACCGGGTTTCGATACCCGTGGTGGGCAGAGCACAGATAGCCCATTGTGTAGCTTTGTGCATAAATTCAAACAAACTATATGTTTCAAAGAATATTTAACCGTTCCTTAATGAAATGCGTTTAGCGTATGACAGAATGACTGTTGAACTGATCTTCACTTTTATAGCATAGATCAGGGGTCACCAAACTTTTTTCACAGCGGGCCAAATGACTGAGAGAATGACAAGCGCGGGCCGCATAACCATTTTGTTCAACAAAACAAGACAACATACATGTTTATTTTCCAAAAGGTTATCAAAGAAGGCGACTTTAGCAATGAGATAGTTATATCACACCCATCGCGCACATATCCGAATCTCATA